GAAATCACCAAGTACTCAAAATGACCGTATCTCGAGCAAAATGCGGTCTTCGAGACATCCTCCGGCTTCACCCGAATCTGATGGTATCCGGACCGGAGATCAATCTTGGAATACACGCAAGCACCCCTGAGCTGATCCAACAGATCATCAATCCGAGGAAGGGGATACTTGTTCTTGATTGTCACCTTGTTCAGCTGCCTGTAGTCGGTGCACAATCGCATTATCCCGTCCTTCTTCTTCACAAAGATGACCGGTGCTCCCCAAGGAGACACACTCGGTCTAATAAAATCTTTCGCTGAAAGATTCTCGATATGCTTCTTCATCTCTGCCAACTCCGGTGGCGACATCCGGTATGGAGCTAAAGAAATCGGCCCCACACCAGGCAACAGGTCTATGGAGAACTCTATCTCCCTCTGTGGCAGAAACTTCGGAATCTCCTCAGGAAACACCTCGAGGAACTCCCTCACCACAGGAATGCCAGTGATATCCTCCTGTGTCCCACTCACCAAACCTCCCAACATGACATATCCAAATGCCCCTGCTCTCAAGGCTCTCCTAGCCTGCAGCAACGAAATGTACGGCGAGGAACTGGCTGTGGAATCACACGGAGACAACACTACACGCTTGGCACAATAGTCAATCATCACACAATTTTTGGACAGCCAATCCATGCCCAGAATAACCTCCAAGTTGGCCATCGGCAATCCTATCAGATCTACCGAGAACTCACGGCCATCCCACTGAAACGCTACATCGCGATGAACAGCGGTAGCATCACATCTTTCTCCGGTGGCGGTGGTCACCCGCAGCGGTGGAGAAAGCATAGACATGGGCAACTCAAGCCCCACAGCAATCGGGGTAGCAACAAAAGAATGCGTAGCCCCAAAGTCAAACAAAACATCAACAACTGATGTACCAATCGTAACAGTACCTCTGACAAGGTTCAAAGCTCGATCCGACTGCTGACGATCTAGAGTATAAACTCTCCCAGAAGATGGTGGCACTGCCGGTGCCGAAGTAGGTGGAAGGGGGACCATCTGAAGTGGCACTGCCTGCACTGCAGTAGCCCTCGCCGTCGCCAACGAACAGTCTCTGGAGAAGTGGCCCTCCTTGCCACACTGAAAGCAAATCAACTGGCCGGTAGAACACGGCCCAAAATGAGTCTTCCCGCATCCCGAACACTTGGGAGCAGGAGGTCTCGCTGTACTCCCTTGAGCAGAAGTCCTCTTGAACTGATTCGGCGCCTACCGAGCTGCCATCTGTTTACCTTTACCCTTGTTCCCAAACTTCCTGTCTCTCCAAGAAGTGGAACTACCAGCTACTACCTTCGTCGCCTCTGCAACCTTGACCTTCTTAGCCTTACTCGAGCTGTAGAAATCTTCAATATCATGACACTACTGAATCAGTGTCCCAAAGTCTGTAGAAGCAGAACCAGCTAGGTAACTAGCAATATCCTCACTAAGTCCCCTGTGGAACTTAGCAGCCAGAAATGTAGGAGTAGGCCTCGCCATCCTGAAGTGTGCAAACTTCACCAATTGGTTGAACTTAGTCAGGTACTCGTCCACAGATAACGAGCCCTGAACCAATCTGTCAAACTCTCCCTGCTGCCTCTCCTGAGCGTCATACGGAAAGTACTGACCCAAGAAGAAATCCTCGAACAAAGGCCACGTCGTCACATGACCCTGTATCTCGTAGACATGAGAAAGGTTTGTCCACCACTCATGGGCATCGCCCTCCAGCATGTAAGTAGCGAACATCAACTTCTGCGGATCTGTGCACTGCATGACCCGAAATATCTTGTCCAACGCCTGAAGCCGACGCGCCGTAGCAATAGGATCAAAGGATCCATCAAAGGTAGGTGGCTTATGCTTACGAAAAGCATTCAGCCGGCGATCGATCTCATCTCGATCCTCAACAAAAACAGGGACGGACTGCATGGCCCCCGTAAGGTGACTGACATCACCCATCTGACTCTGAGAGTCATCCTGCAGACTAGGTGGAGGTGGTGGTGGTGGCGGTGGAGGTGGTGGCAGAGGAACATGGCCAAAAGCCGGACCATTCCTCATCTCCTCCAACATGACTCTAAACATCGTCATGTTCGCCAGACGGTTGGCCTCCAACACGTCCTTAGTGGCCTTCCTGTTCGCCTCTCTGACGGCGTCCAACATGGCCTGGTTTGCCATTCTCATGCCCTCCTGGTCGGCTTGTCGGGTCGCCTGCATATCAGCCAATGCAGCCAGGACAGGATCGGGCTGATCCTCCGAAGTCTCGCGGTTTCTCCCGGGTCTTATCATGACTCTGCATAAGTTACACAAATTATGAGTTGATCAGGTCCACGCAATGTGATCACATATGCATTATCATAATAATTCTCGACGGAGCAAACACACAAAACAGACACAACCAAACATCCTAATCATTGCAATACATACATGCTTTTCCCTTGAACCGTTGCTCTGATACCATAAAATGTAACACCCCGTATATATCCGGTAGTGTTATCATTACATCGTATTAAGCTACGCTTAATTAAAAATGCGAAATATTCTTTTTCCTTTCAATTATGACGTCATTATCAATTACCAACTTGATTACTTAGTCAATTTCATAAAATATCGCCTAAATGTAAATTGCAATAAAACATCTACTGAAATACCTCAATATATAAATAAAGTGTGTATCTAAATCACGACATTACATCTCGTAATCTGGACAATATCCTGATACATTATTACTACTCCCAAAAGACTCAAGACAAAACAATACTATGTGTCATGGACAATCCCCATGCTCACCAAATAAACAGCGTAAACAACAAGTCTTGACATAAAACTCCATAAACATGAACTGAAGCTATAAGCATATAAGCAGCATGCAAATCCAGCATCCAACATGCCAGCATAAATAACAGCAAATCTAACTCACCTCCGGCCTCCTGCCGCCTGAGGTCTCAACATTACCTGATCCTAAAATAAGCATTCCCCAAACGTGGGGTGAGATCTCTAAACAAGAAATCTCAGTAAGACAAGGGGTCCTCAAGGATCTTCCACCCCAAGCTCACTTACATGTGCAATATAAGTTCTAAAAGCATTTATATCAGTATAAGTTCCAAAACTATGCAGTGCAACAGATATCTATGGCATGTGTGTTATCACTATTCTACTGGCCAGAGAAATGTAGGAATACGTCTATACCTACATGTAGTACAAGGAACACCGCTTGCACCTCACCCACAGCCTCCCCATATTGTATGTTCTACATACTCAGGCTTACTGTATAGGTGGAACTCCTCCATGCATATCAACAAGGCACTAACATATAACAGCTCAACAGCATTTCCAAAACATCAAAAGCATGTAACACAACATGCATATAACCATATCCCCATGGGACATGGTGGAACCACAACATGGCTAAACCGAGGACACGAAAGCTTACCTTGCAAGCTCACTATCTAATGCCAAGAGTCCTCACAGCTCAAGCCCAACACACAGCAGATCACAATCTGATTTAGGACCAGCAAATGTATCAACATACATAACTCAAAAGCATTAACATAAAGACTACGTTCTCCTTTAACGATTTATGTCTCAAGGAATCCAACAAAGCCACAAGCCCTTAATCACATGATTCTGACTTAGTCCATTAAATACAGAAGTTCCACTTCATCAATCTAGGGTCCACAAATCCCCAATAGCCTATTGTCCTCACAACACAGCTACTGTTCTACAAAATCCCAGAATATCTGGATATTCCTCGGGTGCATATATGGATATGCAATATCCGGATATCTCACTGTCCATATCCGGATATGCAATATCCGGATATACAGATTCCCATATCCGGATATCCAATATCTGGATATCCAAATCCTATATCCGGATATCACATATCCGGATATTTCTCGGGCAGATATCCGGATATTTCACGACAGAATGCAGAAATTGCATTTCGTGAAGATATCCTTCCAAGGTTGGGTTTTTACCGATTTTAAACACATAAACATGCATTTCTAGGTGTGTTTGACATTACCTAACGTTAAGTTATCACTTTTTAGCCTTAACATGCATCAAGGTTCCATTTTTAAGCAAGAAAACTCATGATCAAAGGGGGTACAACATACCAAGGCTCAAAACTCAGAACCAAGAGGCCCTTGGAGCTCACCAATAGTCCCTCAACCTCTGACTAGGATAGAACACGAAAATGCTAGCACAAGATGGTTCCATTCTTCACAAAGGTAGCTTCTTGAAGCTTCACAAACCAAGAAGAAGGTGCCTCTCAACCCACACCCCAACTCAGCACACTCCTTGACCAGAAACAGTGACTAAAACCCCAAGCAAAGCACCCTCACACCCTCACAAAGATGATTCCCAAGTGTTTACAAGAAGAAAAGAAAAGGATCAATGCCAAAGGTTCCAACTTGGCTCAAGAGAAGGTGAAGGAGACTAATGGAATAGTGCTCAAGCAGCTGGTCAGCCTCTCTCACAAAGAAAAATCTGGTATGTAGGGCAATGTGCCCTTAGCAAGTGTATAAATAACCAACTCACACTTAAACATACAGTCTAAGCTTTAATTTCTACGCTTAGAATTTTAATCCCAAACTTTGGATTCTTAACATACTCAATTTTACAGGAATTGTCATATTTTTATTATATTTTTCTGAGCACCTTTCCGGTACACGCTTTTCATTGCCAGTACCAGTTTCTGGCACCAGTTCTCATTATTTGGACTTGAAACTCTTTTTACAAGTCCTACATAACATTCTAGTAATTATCATGCACTTACTTAATTTTTTCGGGATACTTTTTTGGTACGCATTTATACCGACTAGCAGAACCGGTATCTGCACTTTTCTTCCGAAAAGCGACTATCAACATTCTTAATCACTTATCATAATTATTAGAGTCTCATAATAATTGTTAGGATCAATTATGGAATCATTTCCTAATTTTGCATAATTAATTAATTAAAATTTCTTAATTAACGGTGAGGGTTCTTACATTATTCATCATTCTTTGATAAGTTGCCCATGAGTTTTTGAGCCCAAACGACATCACATTGTAGCAGTAGTTGGCCTTTTCAGCAATGAAGGCAGTTTTTTCTTGATCTCCTGGGTACATTGGAATCTGATTGTAACCAGAATATGCATCCATGAAAGACAACAATTGAAATCCAGCCGAGTTGTCTACCAACTAGTCTATGTTAGGCATAGGGTAGGAGTCTTTTGGGCAGACCTTGTTCAAGTCCGTATAATCAGTACAGACTCTCCATTTCCCGTTTGGTTTTTTCACCATCACCACGTTCGCAAGCCATGTTGTGCACTGTATTTCCCGAATGAATTCAGCATCCAGCAACTCCTTCACGTGTTCCTCCAGGACTTGTTTCCTTTCTGGTCCCAACTTCATTTTCTTTTGAGAAACCGATGTGGATCCGGGGTAAACTGCCAGCTTGTGGCAGTAGAAGGCAGGATCTATGCCTGGGATCTCTGATGACTTCCAAGCAAACACATCCGTGTTGCTTTTGAGGAACCCGACTAGCTGTTGTTTGATCTGAGGATCTATAGTCTTACCAATTCGGGTAAATTGACTGGGTTCTTTCTCCAATGCAAGATCTTCTAATTCTCTATCAGGCTCACGCCTCAGGATTATTTCTTTCTTCATGTCAAGTTCAACCACATTAACGGGCTTCCTTGAATGGTGAGGAATTGTCTCCTTGCCGAGTTTGTCCCCCGGATGAATCCGAGGAGGACTCGAATGTCCACCTTCATTCTCTTTGACTGTATCAAAATAGCACCCTCTGGATTCCTTTTGATCTCCACAAATAGTAATTATTTCATTTTTACTGCTTATCATTTTTATTTTCTGGTGCTTCGTGGAAACCAGCATGTCCCACTGGTGTATGGTTGGTCTTCCCAGAATTATATTATATTCTGATGGGAAATCAACCACTATGAATCTCACCCGTTCTGATTTGAACGCTTCTTTTGTTCCTAAGGTCAACCTGAGGTCTATGTAGCCTTTAGGAGGTGTATACTATCCATTAAAAGCTATCAAGGTTGTTTTGCAAGGTTTGAGGTCCTCCTCATCCAGGTTCATCTTTTTGAAAGCATCCCACAGTATGATGTCCGCACTACTCCCTGCATCCGCGAAAATCTTCTTAACCCGACAATTTACCAAGGTTCCAGCAATGACTAATCCGTCTACGTGTCCCGGCAACACACCTTGCAGACACTCTTTTGTGAAATACAAGAGAGGAGGGTCTGGTTTGCTTGGTCTTTCTTGAATTTAGGATGGTCCCTAATAAAGAGGACCTCTTTCAAATACTTTCTTCTGGCACTTACAGTGTCTCCTCCTCCTCCAAGGGCTTCACTAATTACATTGCAGTCAAATTTTGCTTCCGGGAACTCGTCATGGTTGGAATCATTTTTCTGATTCCTTTCATCCTTGTTTTTCTTTTCAGGAACCGGGCTTTTACTTCTATTTATGTTTCCCGACTTCCTTTTGTTAATTTTGGAACCCTGGGTTTTGATCACATATTGGCGTAATCTTCCATCTCTAACGAATTTCTCCACAGCATCTCGGAGATCCAGCATTGATCAGTGGTGTGACCCGGACCATCATGAAAATTACAGTATTTGGACTTGTCCAAACCTCCTCTGTCGAATAAGGGTCAGGGTCTTTCTACTTTCTTCATCTCCGTCATTGCCACTTCCTTCCAAATTTGAGAGCGTGGTGCATTCAACGGTGTGTACTTATCATATCTTCCAACTCGATCTCGGCTATCCAGGATTCTGGCCCTTGAGTTTTTTTCTTATTGTCAACTCGTTCCTTTCTTTTCGGGGCCGTACTTCTCCTTCTCGGGCTAATTCTTTTACCCTCTTCAGATTGTGCATTTGCAATCTCCATTTGCTCGAGTTCGAGGTACTTCTTTGAACGGGTTCTGAATTCTTCCAACGTCCTCACTGGGTCCTTATAAACCGACTTGGCTAGCTTCGATGCACCATCCAAACCAGCCACAATGAGATGTACGTGGACATTTTCTTGTAAACCCGGCACCTGCAGTGCAGCATCCTTGAATCGATTGAGGTATCTCTGGAGGTTTTCTCCGGGTTGTTGACGTATCTTTCCCAGTGCGAACTCGAATTTAGGATGTTTTTTGCTGGTTGCAAAGTTTAAGAGAAACTTTTGTCCGAATTCCTTAAGGGATCCGATGGAGTTGGCAGGCAAGGTAGAGAACCAAGCCTGCGCAGCCCCAGTCAGAGTTATGAAAAATATCCGAGATATGAGAGGCTCATCTATCCTTCAGATGTACATGTCTGAATCAAAAGCATCGATATGGACCTGTGGGTCTTGACTTCCATCATATTTAGGCAGTCGCACTGAATCAAAGTCTTCTGGAAAGGGTGCATTAAAAACTCCCCAGTGAAAGGGCTATTATTATACTGCTTCCTGCTGTATTTTCTCCTGTTGGCACCAGGTTCCACCCATCCTCTAATGATCTGTGGATCCCGGTTGGGGCGGGTTCCATCCTGGTGTCTCTGCCCATTTGCTTCTATTGAAGCGTTTTGAGTCATGGCATGTGCATCAGTGTTTTGGCCATCCGCTGTCTGGTTTTCCAGGTTCGAGTTCGTTGCGTTCATCGGATTGGGCCTTTCATGGTTTTCCACGTCAGCAACCCGGTTCTGATGAACCAGGTTACGATTTCCTTCCCGGCCATTGGCACGCTGGCCTTCATTTTCTGCTGCCCCTGGTCCAGTTAGCTCCCTCAAGCGTTGTTCCAGGTCTCGCATTCTCCTGTTATTTTCCTCTCTTATCATCTAGAAATCTTGTTGCCGCTGAAGGTTATTACGATTTTCCATCTCTGTAATTCGCTGCATAATCGCAGCAAATGTATTCTGAGCCAGCCGAGTGTCTGGATCGGCTGATTGGGCAATGCGCGCAGCAAGATCCCCAGGATGTTGGGGAGGGTTGTTCCTTACTGGAGCCATAATTGGAGCCGCACCCCTTTCATGACGCGCTGGAGTGGAAGCGGTGTCTGAGACATCTTCACTGACATGGACATGATCATAGTCCACATCGTTTCCTAGCTGGTGTTGAGGCTGATTTACCTCTTCCAGAACTGGATCCAGCGGTTGATTCTGGTTTTGGGGTGGCTGCTGGCTACTGCTCCTTGTTTGGATTGCCATCCTTTGTCAGATTGGTGGGAACTTCAAATTCAGAGAAGAATTTTCCACAGACGGCGCCAATGTTCTGTCCTTGGGATAGAGATGTCCAACCTAATAGGCTGGTATGTTTCTTTTGGATCTAGTGCCCTCTCCAAGGTATCTATGAAGGATATACCATTGAGTCAAACAGATCACTGTGCACAGAATGCTATAACGGCGTTAGCCAATGTGGTGTGTGTGCGCACAGTGACAGCATAACAGTAAGAGAGAGAGCGTAACATATCTTTAGGGTTTACCTTGTATTTATAGAGGTTACCTGTGGGTAGCGTGGATGGGCCTTTGGTGCCTCTGATAAGGGCCCAAGCCTGCTTGCTATGCTGTCGTATTAGGATTAGTATCCTTGACGGATATCTATCCATTATTATTACTAATTCAGATCTTGGATTGTCCCTTGTTGGGCCTATCACTTAATGGGCCCCTTATATGGGTCCATAACAAATAAAATTATCTCTAATTAAAAGTTTTGGAAGTAAGAAATAATTTTAACTTGTCACGTGATAGCACTATATTAATCTAGGAAAAAGTATTTCTCTGGTCACTGGAGATAAAGTTATCTCCATTGAACTCAAAATGACGTCATTTTAAGATTATAAAATTAAAAAATTATAACGATAAATATTAATATAATCCTATAATATATTAAAATTATAAAAACATCTTAATCTTCACTCCAAAACGACATCATTTTAGATTCACTGGAGACAACTTATCTCCATTGACCGAACAAATTATTTACCCATTAATTATATGCAAGTTTACCTGAACTCGCTCACACTGCACCAAATTCCCAATTTACTCACGATATGATAATATCAATTTTCACAAGCAAAGGAAAATTGGGAATACATTCAAAAGCTTAATCATCACATTTCTCGTTAAAAGCTATCCTCCAAACAGCAATAAAAAAACTTGATCCTCTAGCGTTGTAGATCAAATCCCTTGCTTCTCGGGATTTGCACATGCTAACTTACTACAATCTCATCTCGCACGAGTCACACTCTTAATTTTGAATTTCCTTTTCTAATTTCTCTCATTTTAACATGTCCATTGTTTTATAAAAAAAAAATAAAGATTATAGATTTGTTCACTCTTCTCTATTGGCTGGGAAAGGTTGCTTTTGTCCTTGTTATTTGAGGGCGCGAGCTTCTCCCTTTCACCTCTCCCACATTTCCCCTTAGTTTTTATTTATCTCCTCGCTCCCTCAAGTGCCATTTCTTTCTTAGAGTCATTCATTTCTTAAGGTGCCATTCATTTCCCCAGAGTGGTTTTACTGCCTCTGAGTGCTTGCTACTACTCCTTCAAAGCGGTTGGCTGCAAGTGTATGGTGGTTTCTGTCTTCTTTGACCACTCTGCAAGCCCTCCTTCAATGTATTGCGCACTTTGCAATGGTTGTTTTGTTAATAGAGTGCGCGTAGTGGTTTAGATCGATGTTGTTCTGGGCAGAGTGGCTTAGGCCAATTTTATGGAAAATATTTTTAGTGCTTAGTGTCACGATATTGTTATAACTATATATTTCGGAGAGTATATAGTTATAATATTAAAGTTGTACTTGGCTGACATGGAGAGAGAGAATTTTTTTTTAATATTATAACTATGTACTACTTGAAATATATAATTATAAAAATATCATCTCAACATTGAGTATTCAATGCGACGGTCGCACAAAAAATCCTCTCCATTTCATGTTGGGCATTCCTCTTTTGGGGGGGGGGGGGTTTAATATGCTCCCGGTGTATAATTTTTTGGATGCTCTTTTTTCAAAAAAGGAAAAATTCTCTTTCATTTAAATCCCTCTCTTCTTTATAAATTTCCTTTCAATTCTTTTTCCCTTCTATTTTTGGATAAGGCTCACCAAGTCTGGGACCACCAAAAATGAGATGCTCTTCGGGCTATGGATTGTCCCATCAATTTGACTGTATATGGGTTTGATTGAGCTCTTGTTCCTATGTCCAAGCATAGGTTTGGGCCTAGTGGCAACAATGATCATGCAGATTCTAAAAGTGCGTTTGGTAGAAAATATTTTTTTTTTATTGAGTAAAAGAGATTTCCAGGAATATAGTGGGAATTTTTTTTTACTGGATAAGTTACAAAAAGGTGTTTGGTAGGTCTAAAATTTTTCCGAAAATGTTGGGTTAATTGTATTGATACTATAGGAAAATAAACATACCATGTATCAAATGGTATTTTCGTTTGGGATAATATAGTTAAAACTAAAATGATGGGAAAAAAATTCGGGAATATTTTCAGTTTCCTCGTACCAAACATTGGAAAATTTTTTGCCCCACCCCACTTTCCCAGGATTTCTAACACAATCTCTGTACCAAACAACCCCTAAGTCTACTTCCTTGTTATTATTTTGATAAGTTAGTTTACTAAAAGGCAAAATAATTTTCTTGTTGAAAAGAAAATAATTTTCTCATATCACTCTCACATTGAAAAATGCATAGCTATGTTTTTTGGTTTATTTTTTAAAAATTGGTGGGATCCACTTGAATTGTCTATAGGAATCACTCATCTTCTCCTACTACATGAGAAATGCAAAGCCCTTACTAAAATACTGCAAACCAATTTCGGTTGTTATTCTTTTGGAAAGTTGCAAACCAGATAATTTAACAAATTCAAACAATATATTGAGATTTCTATTAGTATAAACAATCCAAAAAAATTGAAAATCGTTCAAATCAATAACAATAAAAAAAAAAATCCACTCATTTTACAAATTAATCTTATTAATGCTATCAATACTAACTGGCATCAAGAATAGAAAAATCAAAGAGATTATTGTATGGATCCTAACGAAGGCCTCCTTATCCTATTTCTTTAAATCTATTCTTCATACAAAGTCTTTAACTCAATTCTCAATAAAAACATAACTTCTTGAAGAAATCCATTTCTTGAAAACTAAAGAATGAATGGAGGGGATGCCCAAATCCCAACTTGAACACCTCATTCAATGTCACCATCCAACACCGACAGCACCAAATTCTTAGCCAAATCTTTAGGGAGCAAGAGTCTGCTTATGTTTACCATTGAGGACTTTCTTGATCTTCCAGGGGTCATCATAAAGCACCAAACCGATTGAATAACCTAAACTTCTCTCTACACAAGCCTTCTTTCTTATATCGACAAGGGTTTCTTGAGAAATCTTCCTCTTCTTAGTTAAAGAAATAGAGGCATCTTCATGGATTGTGTTACAATGACACTTACCAAGTGATAAATGAGTACACATTATTGTGATAAAAATGACACCTACTACGTGATAAATGGGTACATACTACATAGGTTAATGTTGTCATAAGCCATTACAGACAATTATTTCATGTTTTTCGTATTAGAGTTTTGTAACGAACCTTTCTAGAATCACGCAA